TATTATTTAAAGATTATGATATCAAGATAACTATTGAGGGTCAAAGGCTACTTGGTGCCGTAATTGGTTCCACGACCTTTAAGGAAGAGTTTGTTAATGGTAAAGTCGAGACCAGGTGTAATGAATTAAATCGACTCAGTGATATTGCTAAATGTCATCCGCAAGCTGCATATGCTGCATTTGTGCACGGGTACAAGCATGAGTTTACGTACTGTATGAGGACAATACCAGATATATTAGCCACCTTTTGAAACCTGTAGAAGAAGTAATTGCCAATGTTTTTTTACCTACTTTGATTGGTCAAGAGATTTCAGATAATTATAGATAGACAAATTTGGTCTCTTCCCACACGACTTGGCGGTCTTGGTATTCCGTGCATTCCAAACGAAGCAGAATTCTATCTAAGCCCGTCAAAAGTTATTAGCGCGCAGTTATGCGCCCTAATTGTTAGGCAATCGATCAATAGGCTTCCATCGGCAGAGGCCTTGTCTCATGCTAAGATAACTGTTCGAAATGAAAGAAGAGAAAGATTGCATGGAGCATCTCTCTCACTCCATCATCAACTATCTGCAGATCAGTCCAGAACAGTTCGGTTGGCCAGCTTGCGATAAAGGTGCTTCTGGATGGCTCAACGCTGTACTTCTGCAGGATGAAGGTTTTACCGGAAGTGTGTTGTCGGAAGTGTGCAAAGATGTTGCAATAGAACCAATCCTTCAACCAATAACCGGCGAATGTTTTGATATAAGGTCAGCTAATACGGAGAATGGAGCACGTCTGGATGTAAAAGCAAGGGGGTTTTATAGACAAGGCCAATGTGCATTTTTTGACGTTAGAGTTGCACATGTAAATGCCATGTCTAATAAATCCCAACCAATTGAGAATATCTTACATCGAACCGAAATGGAAAAGAAAAGGGCTTATAACAAAAGAGCCATTGAAATTGAACAAGGAGTTTTCACACCACTAGTTTTTGGAACAAATGGGGCGATGGGCAAAGAATGTCATTACCAGAAATTTGCGACATGATAATTTGCATTTATACTAATTTGCATTTAACTTTCAGCATAATGGCCTTCAACGTTTACTATTAAATACATATAGCAAATATACAAAACTTAAAAATGCCGTTTTCCTAGACCTCGCCTACTGTTTGCCGACCTCTGGGTCAATAGAACAGCCGTTTCCCAACGTTTTAATGATCGAATTACTTACCTTAGGTATTTCTACGTTCGGCCAACTGATTGTGAACAAATGTGTGTATAGCCTTCGTATTGTTCAAGTTCCTGATAAGACTTATAATATTTTTTAAAGTGATTGCAGTGAAAATCCGAGCCGTACAGAAAAGTTTATACACAAATACGAAAGACAATATCTTTAACAATTTTTTTGGTATATTACACGTCAATTCATCAACTACCTGAATCGAAATATTCGAATCAATGTGAGCGATTTTATAAAACTTTGAGCAGTATATTTTTAAATTTGGCAGAGTGTAGAAATGCCCAAGCTAAAACGTTTCTAAACAGCTGCTCTACCGATCTAGAGGTCGGCAAACAGTAGGCAAGGTCTAAGGCAACGGCATTTTTAAGTTTTGTATATTTACTATATGTATTTTATAGTAAAAGTTGAAGGCCATTATGCTGAAAGTTAAATGCAAATTAGTATACATGCCAATTATCATGTCGCAAATTTCTGGTAATGATCGCTTTTCATAAAATGTTGGCATCGAAGATCGCGGAAAAATATAATAGTCCTTATTCAACGATAATGGCTTATTTGAGAACAAAACTCTCTTTTAGTTTATTTAGGTCAGTCCTTTTATGTCTACGTGGAACAAGAATACCTTTTTATAGTGACAATTTATCTTTTAACTTTTAAATTTTACATCAACATAATTTTGTAAAACTGGTTTAATTAGGGCAGGCTTGTTATGCCTACGTGGAACAAGATTACCTTTTTTAAATAATATAATGTATATGTGTAAATATTGATGTAAATTAGATTTCGAAAGGATAATTAAATATTTCTTTCTCCATTGGCTACCGCGCGTGCATTGTGAGGCTATAATGCACGCTTCTGGCTTTTGAAGTTTTTGTTGCTAAGCAACATCTAAAATAACATGTAAGGAGAATTTCATTATTGATCAAATAAATAAATTTTGTTGTTGCCCTATAATTTCTTCTTATATTATAAAAGAATTAAAAAAGCTCGTCGCGTGCCTTTATGTTGTAATAATGCACTCGGGGAAATGTTGGAAGCATACTCGAGAAGCTTGTAAAACACTCGGCTACGCCTCGTGTTTTACAAGCTTCTCTCGTATTCTCCCAACATTCCCCCATCGTGCATTATTACACCATAAAGGCACGCGACTCGTTTTTTAATTCTTAAATAATGCACGTCAAATACTCATGGGATATTGTTCGTACAAGCAGTTAGGGATTTACAATACTCGTAATGTTTGAACATTTTGCCTAGTTGGACCGGCGACTCGTCCAATTTATGGCAAAATTTACAAACACCACTCGTTGTATTAATCCGAGTTGCACTCGCCAACGCATGACTACCAATGCTAATTACATTTCAGCCAAATCCTGTCGCGACATCCATACAGGGTGAGTAAAAAAAAAACGGACACCTTTGAAATTCAAATTAGTCGCATAGCGGCTTTAATGAGACAGAAGTTGCTTAAAATATTTCATAGGTATACGAAGCATATCATATTAATTAACCTAAAACATAAAGTTTGTTCCCATTGGGAGTTAAAATGCATTCTAAGCTCTCTAAATACAAAAGAACAGTTTTATCAAATCGTTTTTGTTGTTTGTACATGGGAATTGTCATATTCCAGCCATGAGTTCGCAGCTAATTTGAATTTCAAAGGTGTCAGTTTTTTTTTACTCACCCTCTATATATGGCATAGGAAACATACAGGTTTTTCAGCTCCTATTTCCGTAGGATAATTATCGTTTTCGATAATAAATTTTAAATCATATTTCACTCTTTTATGCCATCTGTTTGGCTACGAGATAGGGCCGTATTAGGCCGTACGGACCGCGCGAAGTTTAAATCCGCAGCGACGCAATGATTTTGAAATTAATTTCATCAAACAGTATACAGTATACAGGGTATATAAAAAAAATTCGAATCGAAATTTTGCGTGCAATAATGCAAAATATATTTGACAAATTTGATTGATTTTTACACCATTGTTAAGTTCATTTATTTCTCTGTCAATGTTCAATGATAGACTTTTGAAGAACACAATGCCCCATTAATTAAATTTGCATTTTCTTTTGTCTGGAGGTCTCATTTCGAATTCCCATCGGCGGAAAAATTTGATTTCGAGCAACAATGTTTAAAGGACGATAACTCGGCCAGTTGCGCGGGCATAAGAACGGTATAATCGCAAACTAAATAAGCTAATCTTTGTTGCCATATAAAAATTATATCGTTTACTTTACTATTTTATACACAGCAGCTTGTCAAAGTTGGATTCGAATTTTTTTTATACACACTGTAGATTCTGCTTTGCAATGTGTATTAAGGTTAATTGTGTAAAAATTGATGCTTGGACGACTGCATACACTTACAGGCATTAAGTTATTTAGCTACAGGAAATATAAAACAACATGCACTGCAAAAGCTTAGCAAGATTACTGTTAGGTAAATCTGCCTAGGTAAGTACTTATGCGTATGAATTTGCTTTTCTTTCACTAGTATGGCACGAAAACACTTAACTCAATGAAAGTTTTATCTATCTAACTATCTTTGTATAAAAAATAAGCTGATTAATCAAGTAAATTACGTACATCACACATATTATGTTGTTATTTTAGGATAAATATTCCATATATGTAATAAAACATGAACTATGTACTGCAGGGACTTTTTAAGGAGTATAATCTATGAGCTGCACGGCCTGCACCGAACATAGCGATTCGCAATTAGTAAATAACTGAATATTTTCTAATATTATAAATGTATAGGTTCAACAGCAGCTTAGTCTTCCCTCTTGAAAGGGTTATATTTCATCAAGATGAATCAACGTGTGTGGACATCCGGTCTATGAAAGGTATCGTGCTAAGCTCCTCCTACTCACGTAATAAAGCAGTTATTTTGCGCTCGTGATATCAGTCTATATTTTGATCTCGAAGAAGAGCTACTGGTACAAAGCTAACCACACGGTATAGTATTGTATAAATTGTACAACGGCAAAACGGCTGAAGTTTCAGGTATGTGTTTAATTTTTGCCGCATGCATGTTGTTATGATTTAGATGATGTTTACTAGGGCATTGAGAGGATATACATGCCTGTAATGGCAGTATTCATTCTATTCAAGTGTATTGCACGAGTTAACGAACTTAAAAGCCGTACGGTCAGTGTATACGTGCTACAAAGCCAATAACACAAACATCCTATATAATAAGCAAATAACTCACAATTCTGGTTTATTCAAAAAGGGCACTATCATTTTTCTTACCTGACCTACCTGACCGGAACGGTCAAACGGCGGTTTGATATCGTATTTTAATACAGGGTGGGGACTTAATATCGGGATGTGTCTTGGCGAATCACAGCTTTTAAATAATAACTGACATTTCAATTACTCCCACTGCAAAAAAGCAAGTATTACTGTGAAATTGTTAAACAAAATGTATTCTCAATAAACCTTAAGTTAAGACGGCCACAGGCACCGGTACGGTCTCATGTAGCAACGACAACAGCCGGAAATCTATAGCCAGTAATAAGCATTCGACAAATTCCACCTTATTATGATTGTATACTATCAGAGGAAAACATGTGGTATAATCAACAGCTCGGTTGGCGGTGACCAGTCACGATTGAAGAGAAATCAAGCTAAAACTTTCGTTCAATCCAAAAATTCAGCCTATAGTGGAAAACTGCATTTAGGTCATTGTTAAGCCAGTTTTCCAGTAGGGATATTTTTTGGACTTTATTCTTTTGTATTTGAGCAATTTGTTTCAGATGATTGCAGCTGACTGTATGCGAAATTTTGAGTACATCGAGTGTGAAATTTACCAACAAACTCGTACTCAATAACCCGGCGACGACGAATTTTGACTGATGGCGTAAGCCAACAACGCGCGAGAATGCATAACGAATATCGTACTCGAAGTCGCTGCGAAACCTCCCGATTATCACTGGTGGAAAACCGACCTTATGCCTGCGAAACCTGCGAGCTATATCTTATTATTTTCGCTTAATTTATCAGTCCCTTGACTGAGTTGTGACCGGTCACGGGGGAATCTGCTACGATCGAATTCTGAAAATCAGGCAAATAGCTTCGTTCGATTGAAAGATGGTAGGTAGGTAAAACTTTATTTAAAACCAAGAAACACGCTAGCCCCATCAACTCTAGGCTGGTTTCCATGAGGGGCGTGTTTAAATTTAAAAAAAAAACAGTTAATATGACTACAAACAGGACAATATACACACAGACAGTTTCACACATAGATAAATTATATGAGTAAGTAGGATGCGTTTCAGTGTCCAACGACAATTGATTTAAATAAACGAAGCGACTCGGCTGATTTTGCTTCGTTTGGAAGCTGATTCCAAAGCATAGCGCCGCTATATTTGAAACTTTTTTTAAGGTACTCTCGATTCGGCCCAGGGAGAATTAGGTCTGTTGCAGAGTTTCGGAGGTGATAATTAGTTTGATCTATTTCTCTTCTCACGAAAGACTCCCGAAGAGCCGGAGCAGTGTGTTCATTAAGTATCTTGTACATCAATACTGACTTGGCACCAGACCGTCTAGTTTCAAGTGTGTCCCAAGATAGATTGCTAAGAAGATCGATTGATGAAGTATCATAATTTGCATCTGTTAAGACCCTCGCTGCACGAAACTGAAAATTTTGCAACTTGTCTCTGAGCAGCTTACCACAAGTATCCCACAGAGGGGAGCAGTAATCGAATTAAGGCGGCACAAGACTTTTATAAACAGATTCTAGGGTATGTCTAGGAACAAAGATTTGCGAATGAGTGGAAATATAAGTTGGCAACGAGAGAAGGAATCCTGAATTTCTGAATATGAGATTTCGTCTTAAAAATGTACACAACACACACACACTCTAAGGCCCGTTTACATTCGGGATTAGTATAATATTATAGCGCTGATGCATCATATACAACAATAGGATAAATGTCTAAACTGATATAGTGTCACTTTTTTGACACTTTAGAGTTTGCACCCTGTATATCATCAAATTCTGCTTTAATTTGTTTGTGCAGTATTATTTACCAACCCATTAGCTAGGCCTGGCGCCCAAGCCAAAGATAAACACTTCCTTCGCTGTTTACATAGGCTTTTGTGTACTATACAATTGTGTGCACGGTGTACGTAAGTAACCTTAGTTTCCGTTTTTAATCTTTCGCGGTTAGATGTTATTATCGCAGCAAGCATAATTCATATTGATGCTTCCGACATTGCAAGGTTAAATGAGGTTATGCAATGGCCAAGGTTAACAGCGAGGAAACCGATTAAGGGGCTGTTTACATGAGCCCGGTTACCCGAGATTCAACGAAGCGTGAGATGATTTTGAGGTATTGAAATGAGCAGATAACATGATCCTGGCATTCGTATAATCACTGCAGCAATAGCATGTACTTGTTTGGTGTCATAAAGACTTATTTTAATACCTCAAAGTGACAAAGTCCCCTCACGCTTCGTTGAATCTAGGGTAACCGGGCTCATGTAAACAGCCCCTAAGTGACGTTCGGTCGTGACGTCACGTGACCGAAGAGCCTGCAGAGGGCATTAACAACGCATCTGCGAACGAGCGATAACGTCGACAGCAGCAGCTTGTGACAAAGTGCTATTAGTAAATTTCTTTTTTTTCTCCTTTGCTTATTCCTGTCAGGTTCGTTTTTCTTTTCCACCAACAAAGTTGGTGTGAAGGGTTAGCTTTCGGCAGGGGGTGTCAGGCTTGAGATGCCGTAGGGATCTCAACTGGCTCTAAGTTACAGTGGTCGTTCCAAGACATATCCCCCTCCCCGCGAACGACAGAGCTAACACCTATTAAACCATCCAATCGTGTAAGTAAGGTAAACGAAGCTGTTAATAGGATGAATTTCACCTAATTGCCGCCGAGCCTTTGCGAGGCCCCGTGAAATATTTACAAGTCTTGGGTCCACAAACCATCATTTCGTCGGTCGGAGTAAATAAGTGTTAAAAAGGCATTAATGGTCGCAGTCGCGATAAACAGACGTGTCGTTCGAAATAAACAGACAATTATAGTGTTCAGGGGCCGGTTGTTCGAAAGATGGATAACTTATCCAACGGATAAGTCCTATCCAACGGATAAATCTGCTATCCAGTGGATAGTTATCCATTGGATAAAAACGCGTTGCACGAAGCGTGGATAGTGAAGTGGATAGCTATCCAATAGATAAGTTAAAATTTACCGGAAGAAAACAGGATTATTCTGAAATTTCGTACCACAACGTCAGCTGTTGCTAAGCATTTACAACATTGAATTCATAATCATTACGAATTCTCGAGTATAGTTACTGAATGGAAAAGACTTGAACAAGTGATTTGCTCGAACTTTGCACTTCACATCATAGTGATTTTATTAATTAAACACATTGCAATTTTATTCCTTGACCTTTCAACGCTTTGCCTTTCGGTTCCATAGCAAATTTAGGAACACTATTTTAATGTTCGTGAATGAAATTACTTAGATATTAGCAAGTTTCCTTGGAATAGGTTGAATCTTTCTTTGCATATTCGCGTTTATAAACTGATTAGAAGCGTATAGTAAATTTACCGCCTGTTATAAATTCGAGGATCTCCAAAAAATCGCCGCTCGGAACGGAATGTGTAGGCAACGTGAAACGCTGCTGCGACAAATTGCACTTCGAAAACATTTCTAATAGTGAATACAATCATGATGTGTATTAGTTTGTTGAAGCACAATAACAGGAATATGGCATTTTTGTCCTATTTTATATAAATGTTCACAGTGTTACCTTGTATCTTTGAATTTATCCACTGGATAGTGGATTTAAACCACCTCCGGACCTTGGATAAATTTATCCGGTAGATAGCGATTTTTATCCGCTGGATAAAGTTATCCAAGCTTCGTGCAACGCAAATCACACGCTGGATAAAACTTATCCGTTGGATAGCGACTTATCCGTTGGATAGCGACTAATTATCCACCTTTCGAACAACCGGCCCCAGGCGTTTAAGTTTGGAATAAAGTCATAATTTAGTTCGGAATAAAGTCATAAACAGCCAACTATGGCGTTCAAACATATATTCGCGACCTGTTGTGTCAAGGTCGCCATGCGGAAAAAAGAATGAACCGATATAAAGTTCGGAATAAAGTCGTAACAGACAACTATGGCGTTCAGACATATATTCACCGTGCAGTATAGTCAGGGTCGCGAGAATCAAGAATAAACAGACGCGTAGTACGAAATTGTGGGTATAAGATCGCTAACCTAATATCTAAATGTCTCCAAATTTCTAATGCAACAAACTTGGCAAAGTTTAATAAACGTGGTGAAATTACTGATGAACAATTTGATACTCTAAAACCTATCACAGCACATTTTGACAGGGCACATGCTTTGCCAAAGACCTGCAAGAAATTTGCACTCTACCTAAATTTCGGTCTTAAACATGCATTTGCAAAGTTTCGGAGCTGTCTAGCATGGCGAATCCAAAGCGACATTTCTGCAAGAAGCAAAGCCTCTATCGCTACCTACTTTTAATCTTATCATTTAAACTGTTATTTGCCCAAATATGGAGCATTATCATTGTAAATAAACTATAATTTGCTTTCAATTACTCTTATCTCTGTCTTGCTGTAAATGTATATATTACATTTAAGGGAGAAAAATGTATGTAAAAGCTGTGAATGGACACTTAGTTCTAGAGTCTGGACTACACTGGTGCAATTATGTTCACCTCATTAATGTCACACTTTTGCCCTGATCTCCAAGAAATTTCTGAATAAAACTGTCATCTCTAAAATTCATCTAACTTTTTAGTAAAGATTTGTAATTCACATCTGCGGCCGCAATTCTTTCTTCTGATAAAAATTATGTACTTTTAGTAATTAATTTAGTTTGGGTTTTGTCCTAGCAATCTAGGGTCTAAGGCTAAGGATCGTTGCTCGGGCCAGCGATTTCCCACAGCGCGAGTAAGGGCTCTGAGATAATCCAAAGGATAGAAGCCAGAAATTCTGGTTTGTTAATTTATGTAATTATGTCTTGTATTAAAACATTCACGGTGTGAACGAGCAAACATTATCTATTCTGATTTTGTCTAACCCAGAGCTTTGCTTCATCGCCAGAGGAATTCGCGAGCTCAAGAAACGAGTTTGGAATGACAAACGAAAAAAGAAAATGAACTAGTCGCTTGTTATGAATTCGAATTCAGTAGTAAAATTATTTTCTACATTTAGATTGTTCTAAAACGTTCCTGATCAATCTATTCATTTGGCTCGATGGAAGAATTGTATGACGTAATTATTGTTGGAGGAGGACCTATGGGTCTCGCCGCCGCTTACGAATGTAGTGTTAAAGAAGGAAAGAAAGTTCTTCTCCTCGAGCAGTTTAACAATTTTGCCAACGCACACGGTTCAAGTCCTGGATACAGTCGACAATACCGCATAGCATATTCTGAAATGAATTTGTGCGATCTTGCTCTCAAGACCTACGATATGTGGATGAAGCTCCAAAAAGAGATGAACGACGAAAGTCTTCTTCAAGTAACAGGTTGTCTCTGGTTCGGTGATTCCACTGTTGAGAGCGGCGAGGGAAACATTGACCAAGCAATTAAAAACCTCAAGAAACTTGGCCAAGAGGAGGGGAAGGATTATATAGTTCTTGAAGGAAAGGAGGAAGTTATGAATGATCCTAGGTTCAAATTTGTCTCCAGCGCTGTGGCTGACATCGAAAACGCGAAAGCTCTCTTTACGGGGAAAGGTGGAACTGTAAATGTCCCCAGCGTTGTTCAACGTTATGTTGAGAAATTAACAGCAAGTATGAAAGCAACGTTGAAACGTAATGCGCGTGTAATTAAGATCGATCATTCCTTGGAGGATAGTGTTAAAGTTACAGCACTGGTTGATGGAAATGAGAAAACCTACAAGGGTACAAAGATCATCCTCACCCCAGGCGCGTATGTGAACGAAGCCTTGGACGCTCTATCTCCCTGCTTCAATCAACGTATCAACCTGATCATCTACCTCTGGTGTTCCACTTATTACACAAAGAAGAGAAAAAGTGCATCAAACACCGATCCAGCTCAATGGCCTATTTGGTATTTCTTTGGACCTAAACCAAAAGATGACGGTAGCGATGCCCCGAAAGATTACAACGATTATTACGGATTCCCAAGCGAGTCTGGTAGTCCGGAATACTTACGAGTTGCACCTGCGTATACCTCACGTGAAGAATTCGATTTCTTGTTCTTTCCTCCCGATGTGAACCAACGACCAGTCGATGTGGACGCACTGAAATTTACAACCGATTTCGTGGAAAAGTCCATGCCTGATCTGACCCCGTCTAGCAATGCGGACAAAGAAACAACGTGTATCGCTGGTTTTGCGCAATTGAATAATGATGTTTCAGGACCCGACCAAGGTGCTGGTTTCGTTTTGGATTTTCTGCCCAAGTCAAAGCGTATCGTCGTGTTCACAGGTGGTTGGGCAATGAAATTTGTTCCAATGATTGGAAAGATACTCGCTGATCTGGCAATTCGAGGAAAGACAGAATACCAAGATCTCATCGACCCTATGAATATAAACCGCGGAATATTGGTCGATGTCAGTGAATGCCAAGGCAAAAGTTTGATGGTATCCAAAATGCCCGTTATTCACAAATGGAAAACATTTCGAAAAATTTGGTGTTGAAATTAACTTTATACTTTAGACTTTTTTCAACCCCAAAACTCCTGGTTAATAACGTCTTTGCATGTGCCATAGAAAATAGGTATCAAATGTAGTTGTGTTTGAAACCACTGTTGTTAATATAATTTTGACATCAACTGGTAAAGCGTTATTGTTGATGAACATTCAAACATTTTGATTGCTCAAGTGACTGCGTATATAAACTATTAGATGTGAAATACTGTTAGGTGAAACATATTCAGATTAATAAGCTTTATCGTACTATTATGTTATAAATGTAGCATGACATTAGGGTGTTATGACTGTTTGTACACAGATTTGAAAAAAATGGGTTCGTTTATTTCAGTTGTTCTGATATTAATATTCGCCAATTATCATTATTATAGACCTAGAGTGAGGGGGATTCGGCGACGGTTATATTTTCCGAGGGATTTATAATTATATTATACAAGAATAAGGTTATATAATAAGGTTACGAGAATACGGTCACTACAGATTCACGCAGGTATAAGAATAGTTGTCGCGTTGATTTTAACTGTTTCGGCGATGACGTTTCTAGGCGGATTTTGACACGTTGCTAGGGAGTGGTCTCAATGTTTATGTTCAAAATTCAAACGTTGCTGACAAAGCTGTCAACGCCCGTCATCGCGAACCGGTTAAAACTAACGCGACAACTATTTTTATTTAACGGTCTACCTGAATCTGCAGTAATATTCTCGTCAGAATCGTTAATCTCTTGAACAAACAACAACATTATTCCCGGCATTATTTTCAGTGGGTGCGTATAGTCCTCGCGATCAAAATATGATCTGATCTGAAATTCGTAAATCCTATCTGCCATAATATTCATTAGCAACAACAAACCATCTACTTCAACTCCAATGTTTTCCATCGCATTAATGGCAAGAGTGTTCTGTTCCTTGCTGGTACTGTGTCTCGCAGTATTCAAATAGCGTTTTCTATTCTTTGTGTTCAATATAGGCCATTTTGGTGCCTGCAGATTTTGCCAAACAATTAACAGACTTTCGGAGAATCAAGATTTGAATACTTCAAGTTATTCCAGCACGTAAACAGCATTCCCCTTACCACAATCCATGAAGTCGTGATGTATGGAAATATCTTGATTTAAGTTTGCTGTGTTAAAAGTCAGTGTTTTTATTCAACAGCCTGTGTTTTTATATATATTTTTGTCAACCTACATATACTCTGCTTTTACAGCGAACATCAGGGGGCCGGGGAGTGTGGGCCATGTAATCGATCATTGAATAAGTAGCCTTATATGGTCACCATGCACACACGTGTGAGCGTATAGTTTATTTGTTGAAAGGAAAACAAATCTGATGAAAGGTTCAAATTAAATGAAAGTAAAAAAACTACCTGATTCTGTTAAACCATTTTGAAACTATGATGCAGATGAAGGTGTTAGACGCGTGTAAAGGTGTGAAGGCACAAATCTCCAATGTGGCTTTATGCATCTGTTTTAGAAACCTTTTATTCCAATTATTGTTTTAAGTTTTACTGTCTACTTTTTATACATAGAAAGATCAAGCAATCAAAATTTATATAATTAGCCCAAAAAATAAACAAATATCATGATATTATGCTATGCAGTTTTTCTACTTGGATTTTTAGCAAAATGCGATTAAATGTAATCTTTCCCATCTCATTTAACTCTCTTCATGTGACGTGCGTAAACTTGATACGCGGATTTAAAACCACTTTCCAAAGCTCCTTGAATCCAGCCAGCGGTAAATGATATGTTATCGCCAGCAAAATGCACATTACCCATTGGCTCCCACAAATATCTGTAGGTTATACAAAGAAAAGAGATATATCGGAGAATGTTGTTTAACGCGTTAGAGTTTTACCATGGGTCTGTATTGGGGAGAATCCATAGTGCGATTAATAAGTACAATACATAATCATTTGTCGGCCATACAGAGTGATTCTTAAAAGTAAAAACGGGCACAGAATCAAGTACTATAATATTATGATTGCAACGCACCTGATATTGCTGTATTGAGTGGTCTTCAAGAGTCCATAGGCACCTTGATAAGAGGGTTGGTTGTACCAAGCATGGACAATACATTTTTCAACTGCCCCTTCTTCTTTGATCTCAGGATGAATTTCTCCAACTTGCTCAATAGCCTCCTTCTTTGCCTGATCTTTTGTCAAGGAACCAAAAAGCAATGCTTCATTTTTCCAGGTGTAAATCAGAATTATTCCTTGCTTGGTGGACGCGAGATAGTCCGGATCGGGTTTCACGTAATGTATTTGACCGATGGGTAGGTTGGTCTTAGAAAAGCCGCCTTTGATGCCGTACTTCTCCTCTTCCCAGAATCTGGTCTTGGTTTGCAGGATAATCTTTGTGGCTGGTCCTGTGAACATGTCTTCAATGGCTTGAAGATTCTTTCTGAGGGCCTCCCTGTCTTCCTGGTTTGGTTCAATTGGCTCAAACGTAATTTGCCGCAGTATGTTGACTTGAGTGGTAACGATTACGGCCTATATCAAAGTTTAAACAAATGATTACTGCTGAAGTTTTTTAGGGAATGCTCACATTTTTATTTACATGAAGCGCATTGATAACTCAAAATTTCAGAGAGAAGTTGGACTGATATTGTAGAATGATTTAGCCTAACAAGTGATCAAAACTAGATGAAATAAAAGCTAGATGAAATGACAGCGATGAAGGGTGATAGATTTTTTCGGCAGATTCATATGGTTTACTTCAATGTACTGCAAGACATGTTAATTATATTCTGAAAAATATTCACTCAGTAAGCGTTAAAAAAGGAAGCAGGAAAAAAGTTTTATGAAAATCTTAATCCATGAACTGAGTGGCATACCCAGCCAGACGGTTTGGTTCCGCTATGTAAACATTTTGGTGTTCAATGAATTTAAAAAGAGATGAATAATTATGATACCATAGCTCTAATTTTCATAGGACTATTGCATGGGCTGTGAGGCTGACTACGCCACTGAATAAACTTACCCGCGCTATGTAATCAGCTTCTTGCTCTGATGGATTTGCATAACAGGAAACAATGACATAATCGTCGTTAGGCTGACAGGGCGAGGAATAATAACGAATCTTGTAAACTTGTTTCTTCATTTCGATATCGTCAGAAACCAAGGGATCTTTTTCACACGTGAAGAAAGCTTCTGGTAAACTGTGCATGCCACCCACTATGGTATGCATATCTCGTGACCACCAGTTTCCCAGCTGATCGCGAAGATACTGGACCAATGACTGATCCAGCTGTTCTGTGTAAGAATATACAGAGTATCCACGCAGTGCATCGTTGGACCAGGGCAAAAGTTTGCCAAGCATCGTGACATCTAAGCAATCTTGATCATCTTTTGTTAATTTTGCACAAATAACATCTTTATTGCTCTCCAGAAAGCTTTCCAATGTAAACTGGCTCCAAATGTTGATCCAGCGTTCCCACACATTGATTTCTTCTTCAATGGTGGTCGTATCTCTCAACCAGGCAATCAATTGATCTGTGACAACCTTGGTTGTTTTTGTGTAATAATCATCTAAAAATATTTAAGAATCAGGAAAAGTATTAAATGACTACGATTATAATGCGAAAGATTCAACAGTTCTAGAATCCTTCGATATTGTCCTTTTTAAAATAATTCAGAAAACTATACATAAAGTTTTTCATATCTTGCTTAGTTCTTGAAATATCTAGACTGGAATTAACAAATCTTAATAAAAGTGGAAGTACAAACTCGCAAGCTAAAGTAAAAATCATGTCCGTAGGCAAACAAACGGTTTGTTTAGATTTTAAACTTATAATCTTTTTGAAACACGATGCGCTGTCTAAATATGATATATAGAGACTGTTATGTTCAGAAGCAGTCCAATTGACAAGAGTGGCATACACACTCGCCGAGGAGAACGCCGGAACAGGCGTGTTTTTAAGCATGCTCCCCACACTATTAACTTCTGACGCACTTCTGTGTATAAAAGTTGTTCATTTCCTTATTTTGTAGGATAGGATCTCGAAACTCGGAAAACATTGCCCCAATAATGGAGATGAAGAAAAAGTAAACATTTTCCTTCAGTACATTTTTTTTTAGAGAAAGTTGCAGGATAGGTTTTTTTAACATTCGCAATTTTTTTGTTCTTAAAAGACAGTTTCTTTCTTTCTAACATCATAACAACTGTTTAAAAATCAAGATGCAGGAAATCGGACATTTTCTCACCGATATTTAACTAAAAAACCAAGCAGTTTGTTGTCAAGTCGCGAATCGTCTAAAAAACTGAACTAACTGAAGAGAGCCACCTTACAAGAATGAGATCAGTATGTATGTAATGCAGTACCTATATCCTTAACATCGATGCCACTAATCCCTTTCTTTCAATCTGGCCAAACGATTGCAAAATTTTTCTCTCCCCAAACTAAGCAAGAAAGTCAACAGTATCAGTCATGCGTATAGTTTATCGTTTGAAAGGTGAATCATATTGGATTAACTGATAGATTAGCTATTAAGTCTAATTTTATTAATAAACGAATAATGATACAATTTTTTAATTATCTCTGTTTTCCTTACTAAATCCCAGTGAAATTTTAAACTTTTTTAGCCACATGTGAATTGAGCTCATTAAAATATGTAGCTTAGTTTGTCTAAGACAATAATAATACAACAGGGGCCGGTTGTTAACCACCAGGGTTAAAGCAAATCTTTATATGAATTTTTCTAATCACTTGTTCACAAAGTTGGATATCTTTTTTCATCAATATTTTCTGGACTGATGTAGAAGTCATATTTTCTAAAGTTTTACAAAGACTGGTTTAGAAGCACATTAACAAAAACACTGGATTAAAATTTAACCCAGGGTTAGCTCCAACATATATAGCTTTGAACAATTGAGTTTTAGGGTTTTTTGTTCCAAGAGCTCAAACGAATCCAGGAAACGTTACGTATCACCACCGATGACCTCATCTTTTTCCCTCAAAATGGTTGCTGGAGAGAATTTAAACGAAATATGGTAGCCGAAATTAGAAAAACCAAGGAAGCGGAAAATTTGACGCACCGTTGAATATCTATTTAGTTACGATAACATAAAAGTTTATAATATAGTATGAACATTTCTTATAAGATCTCATTTCACATACGATTCGATTTCTCCTTCACTCCGTAAATATAGGAAAGGCCATTTTCATCGTAATTTGGAAATGCTTTGGTCTTCAAGTTAAATTTCCTTATATACCCATCGGTCAGAAAATGCGTTTTAGTGGCGGATGAGCCAACACCATCAGGCAATCTCATCGCTCCGCCTAAAAATGCAGAAATATTTCATATTTCACAATTA